TGGCCTTCAGTGTGATGGAGGGAGCATAGCATTGAGAAGGCTGTTTACGGGCCCTGCTGCTGCACAAGGTCCCGCAAGGCTGATTTAGTTTCCCTGCTTTCCCCGGGTGTGCCTGACGGTTCAACATTTCATTCCCTGGGTTTTCTGCCTCTGTCCTTTTCACCTACAAAAGCAAATCCTGCACAGCCCAGGGAGCTTTCTTAACACTCAGCAGGAGAGGAGCTGGGCCTGGGTGAGCTCCCAATATCGCACCCATGGGCCTGGTAATGAGGCTGATCTGGAAGGCGAGCTGGCCAGCACCCAACACAGAAAGCGAGCAAAGCTGCACAGCATGAACCAAACAGATTGATTTCCATTGCTGTGAGAGGGCGAAGATGAGCCCATGGTTCCATCAAGGTGGTTGCCGCACGGCCCATAAGACTGCTGTGCACAAAGACACATTTATAACCACAGGAACAGGTAGACCAGCAGTCAGGAAGGGCAGACCAGCTGCTGACAAGTCAGACATACTGATGTCTGCAATCACCGCTCTGACCACCAGCTGGTGGGAACTTGTGTTTTCTTAATTACATAATACAAACTAACCATGATCAGAGCTACATAATGAAAAGGCAGGCAATTTAAAAGTTTTCAAAGGATTTTTATCAGTTTAAATAATGAGGCCGCCATGGATTATTACAGCTCTTCTGTAACAGAGCAGGTAGAAACTAACTCTACCAAATGGCCCTCCACATTGATCGGGTCAAGATTTATCCCCAGCCTGCCTCCAAACTGAGCTGGTGTGCACACTCTGTAAAGCAAACGCTTAGACATGTTTAAACTGGTTTAAGTATTTTTGAAGACAGACCATCTATGTCAGAAGGAAAGCAATACTGTGCAGAAACCAATGACAACATTCAAATGGGACCTGGGGCTGGACTACACAGATGCCTGGGGGAAAAGGCGATAACCAGCACAGCCTGCTGCATCAACCCAACCTTCCAAAGACAGCCCGGACCCGTCCAAAGTCTGGGCTGCTGTTTATGACTGGTAGCATTGGATTTGTTTCAATCTGACACATTTGTTAGAAGTTCTGAAATGTTTAAATCATGCATTATTGAATTAGTGTTCCCTGCTCAGCCTGTTCTACACGAGGAGTTAACGATGCCAATCCCGTGCTAAATGGGGAAACACTAGGAAATGATTTAAACCCTCCGTAAATTTTATTTGGAAATTAGTGAACACCTCATCATGATTTCTAATTAAAACAGCTCTAATTAACATAGACATTCATTAGCCCTCTCCCTGCCCCTCCCCCACAAGACACTGTGGTGCAGCAGCAGCCTTGCAAGGAGCTGCCCACCAGCTGCAGGAAGGGCGGGCGATGTGTAGATAGGCAGTCGCTGTATCTATTCTGGGAAGCAGTGCTCACCTGAGCCTGGGCGCTGCCACTCACAGTCCGGGAGCCGCCAATCACTTCATCTACAAGCAGCGCCTCACTCGCTCTCCAGCTGCGGCAAGCAAAATCTCCAAGGACTTCAGAGCAGTGCCTTTCGTTAAAATCAGTTTGTAGAGACAGGTCTAGGAAGTGTCCATTCAACTGACAGCGGAGCCCAGCAATCTCTGCCTTCCCACTGAAGGTAGGGCATTATCAGTCCAAGGGCTACCACCTCACTGGGCCCAGGCAGCCCTACATACCCACAGATGGCCTGGGTTAGTGTTGCTGACCTGTGTGACCAGAGGAGCCAGAGAGAAGACCCCCAAAACACCCTGAAGGGCCTGTCTTCACAGCAGATCCTATAGGCACAAGTGGAAGTAAGTAGCTGGGCTTCAGCTGTGAGGGTTACCATCCACCTGCTGAGACGCACATGTACTAATGTGGGTAAGATCAGGCTAGTAGCCACTGTGTGCAACAAGGGATAGTGGAAACAGTACGGGCTCTGGGCATCACATCAACCCAAGACTGCCCACCATGTACCACAGGGAGACTGTGCCCACAGTGTCTAAGTGCTGGGTCTCAGACTCCCATGTCTGTGTCCCGTGGGAGTTAGGAAATGGCCAGTGAAACTGCCCTCGGCCCTGGGAGCCAAAGTACTGACATAGCCATGTCCTGACCATCTACTATGGACCAAATACCACCTTACACCGCAGGCAGATCCAACAGCAGGAAGCTAGGACTGGAGCTGTTGAGGACAGTTAGCAGGAGTCAGGGCGAGCCATTCAGTCTTTTTGGTGTAGTACTAGGGACTGCACCTATGCCTCAAACACACTAGGCAGCACTCCACCACTAAGCGAGATCCCCGGGCCTTCTTTCCATTTTGAAGTTGCCTAGGCAGCCCTAGAAATCACTCTGCAGCCCAGGCTGGTTTTGAAGTAATGATCTTCCTGCCTCAGCCTTTCAAGTAATTGGGATCACAGGCTTGTACCACCAGTGCGTGGCCATTACCATACAGGTAACAGAGCCATGGGTACAAGTCACTTAGGAAAAACAGAGCTTCTTAGCTGGGCTCTGGGGGTACAAGCCACTTAGGAAAAACGGAGCTTCTTAGCTGGGCTCTGGGGATGGAAGTTGCATACCCAGAGCTGGCTGGACTAAATGCAGAGTCCTGACCTGGAAGGCTGCATGTGCTTCCCACCCACAAAGGTATCATGAGTGGCCTGTAGGCCAGAAGACGACTGTCCAGGTCTCCTCCAGCAGCCAGCCGCTCAGCAGTTAGGAAAAACGGAGCTAAGAGACAAGGCTAAGGCAACCATGCCCAACAACACCTCGCTTTGTCTCTCTGACAATGCTTTAGGCCAAGGAGGTCAGCCAGGCTGCTAAGACCCTCAAGGCTTGGAGTCCTGCCAGCCCAGCACTGCTGTTGGTCCCAGTTAGGTAGTGCAAGCTGGTAATACCTAGGCCTTACAAAACCCTTCTGTGCTACCCAAGAGCATTCAAAGCTCTGTGGCCACTCCCTGGAACACCAGCTACCCAAGGATGTCCCTGCACTGCCAAGGCCCATCAGCAAGGTGACTGACTGTCCACATAATGTAGGAAGTGGCTTGGCTGAGATCTTCAGGGAGGAACTGACACAGCAAACAGTGAGGTGGCCTTCCACTTCATAGGCTCAGTCTTGGCTCAGCCTGATGCACTGATGACTTTGGACACTGAATGGAGAGATAAAACAAATTCTTCCTGACTGCTACAGTGAGGGCTGGAGTAGTCACTTTCCACACGGCTAGAGAAATGTTCTCCACTGTAGACACACATTGCTCAAAATTCATAAATCTGACTTAGTTAAGGGACACAACAAAATGCAACTCTCCTAAGATGTTAACTGCACATACCAAACACTGCCAGACAAACTCAACTGCAGCACTGTACTTCCATCGTTGCCATAAACACATTGGTTGGCCGACTGAAGGAGAAGCAAGGTCGCCCTCTGCTGGCCCACATCACACACACCCTCTGCAAAGCTGGGACCAGCAGGCAGCTGCAAAGTCAGGAGCTCCCTCCTGCCTCATCTGGCTCCAGCACTTCCCGTACTGCACTTTCAATGTTCCTACCAGCTGCCACAGAGTGGTCAACAGGGTCTCTAAATGCTGACATGGGCTACTCTTGGTTTTAGGTTGGAGCAGTGGACGGCTTCAAATGTGACTTTTCCCCCAGTAAAAGACAGCGTTGTTTCCACCTCAAAGCTAGCTTTGTCAGATAAGCAAGATATCTGACAGGTGACCCTATGAAAGGGTCATGACCCACAGGTTGAGAACAACTGCTCTAAGGCTATGTTCACGGACTGGGCTCAGGGTCCAGTTTTACGACCTCCATGGGGAGGTGGCAGCTCTGATGTCTGTTTTCTGTTTGGGAACCAGCTGAGAGGAGCCTGTGAGATGTCTCAGCTGGGAAAGACACTTGCCAAGGACTTGGGTCTTGTCTCTGGACCTACATGGTACAAGGAGAGAACTGATTCCCACAAATAAATGTAAAAAGTTTTAATTAAAACCAGCTGAGAGAAACATAGGATGATGACTGTCAGCTGGAAGCTGTGAGAAGAAGCAGGTGACAGAGAAAGTCTGGACTGTGACAGTTTTGTGTCTTTCAACCAAAATCTCAAGATCCAGCTACCCTAAGGGCGGCCATCTTCCCCAGCTCTATGGTCATTTGTACAGAACCGCAGGTCCGTGCAGCCCTCAGGCACAGGATTTCCATTCCCACTCTAAGGGATCACCTCCTCCAGGCACAGCAATATACTGTCTTCCAGCCAGGTCCAGTGCACCTGGCATGGAGGCCTCTGTGGCTCCTCGGTCACTATAGGACTGAATCCTTGCCCACTACCAGGCACCCAGAACACATGCCCCACACCTCTCTCTGGCTCTGTCTGAGATTCCCATCTCTCCAGCCCCTTCCAGGTGACCCACATACCCCTGCTCTATCTCAACACCAGATCCTCACTCAGGGAGATACAGTACTTTGTCAGTCCCCCGCCAATCAAAAAATACCCTGTTTTTCCTCACAAACAACCTGGCTTATCCAAGTTTGAGGCCACACAGTCCAACAGACAGGTGGCCTTTAGGTCTCCACCTCAAAGGGCACAGTCCCCATGTTCACCTGACTGCACCAGAGCATTCTGTAGGTTTTATTGTCTGACCTGCCCAGAGACAAGATTCCCTATTTGTTAGCAACTCCACAGAAGTCCTCACCTACTTACCACTAAGCTAGGGCACAGCCTGCTTCTTTGGGCTTTCAGGAGGTGCCCTCGACACATGAGTTTTAGTACTTTGGAAGTATCCTTAGCTATAACACAGATGAACAGACCCCAAAAGCAAAAATGCAGCCACCATGAAGTGACTTCACAGAAGACCTGCTGAGGGACAGCCCAAACTCCAAGCCAAGAGGAACAGGTGGGTCCTCTCTCAGGAGAGACTGATCTGGGACTCCCACCACGAGATCATAGTAAGAAAAAACTCAGAATCTTCTGAAGCTGGTGATGTCTGCCTGCTCAAATAACCTGAGACCTCTCAGCCTCAGATCATGAACTCACCCTGCTCCTCTGCCCTTTCTCAGGCTGGATGTTCAGTTCCTCATATTTCTTCAGAGCAAGTTCCAATTCCATTTTCAGGTCAATGGCCTGTTTTAAGTGTCCACTGTAGATTCCTGCACGGGTAAACCGCTGTAAAAACAAAGGATGACTCACAAAGGTCCCAGACAGTCCCCAGAGAGCCTGGTCTGGCCAGGAGGCCCATGGCCTAGCCCCTCCTTATAGGAAGAGACAAAATTCTAGGGAAAGAGGGAATGCTCCTCCCCACCCAGGTCAGTGTTGTCGCCTCCCACATCCTTGCTCTGCCTGGTCTTTGAGCCCACGTTCACTGCTGAAGGCCAGGTACTGAGCCTCACCTGGACCCAGGAGCACACAGTTGGCAGAAACTTGTTCTGAATGAGTTTGAGTGAGTCTCGAGCAGCATGGAGGACAGCCAGGTTGTCCTCATTCTCTTGCACCTTCAGACCATCTAAAACAAGGAAAGTAAGTCACAGAGGGACGCCAAGAGCCAGGCGGTGGTGGCGCATGCCTTTAATCCCAGCACTCGGGAGGCAGAGCCAGGCGGATCTCTGTGAGGTTTGAGGCCAGCCTGGTCTACAAAGCGAGTTCCAGGAAAGGAACAAAGTTACACAGAGGAACCCTGTCTCGAAAAACCAAAAAAAAAAAAAAAAAAAAAAAAAAAAGAGGGATGCCAAGGCTGGCCGTGTAGCAGAGACCATTAAGCCCATTGAAATGTGACTCTAACAGGTCCCAGACACTGGTCAACCCTGAGAGAAAAACATACTGTCTTGGAAAAAAATCTGGGACAATATCAACCATTCTGGCTCCGAGCTGAGGCTGCCCCTCTTACAGTTCCACTGTCTCAGCCACGGCTTCCCACCCAGAGGGCTGGGCCGCTCAGAACCACTTTCTCTTGCCTCTTCTCTCGGGACCGTCTCCAGCTCTTGGTCCCAGGGTCTCAGTGACCCCTGCCGTTCTGCCTGTTCTTGACAGGCTCTTCATTTCCTTCACAACACCTGCTAGGCAGGACCCCCAGGAAGGACCTCACTAGCACCTCTATGCTTACAAGGTAAGGTGCAGTACATCAGAGATATTAACTTGAAGCTGTGGCTCCTGAAGAGCACCAGTCCCTCCAACAGTGTCCCACTGGTGAACACATAGCACCTGGGAGGACACCTGGTCCAACAAAGTTGACCGATGGACAAGTAAGCACCTTTGTTCCCACAAGGCTGGAATGCCAGGGCCAAGCACAACTCTGCCACATCCCTGTCATTGTAAACACAGCAAGAAATCATGCTTTGATCACATTTTCTTCCCAGGAAGGTGCCCCTGGTGGACTTTCAGGTAGATGCCCATACAGCTGCCAGGGACTCTGTACCCCTGCTCATAACCTCATTAGTATGGACTATAATGGCAGAGAATCCCATGTAGCTGGTTCATGGTGATGGAGGTCTGGCATGGTGGCAGAAATCCAGAGCAGAGTTACACAGGAAAGACTAACCAGATGGAGGTTCCTCTACCCCTCACAGCCCAACCCAAGGTACTGTTGTCCCCAAGTCTAAATTCCACCATAGGACAACCTAGTGCCAGTGAAGGAGCTATAAACCTGGCTAGGCCAGGGCAGTGCATGGAGGCACCGCCCAGCCCCAGCAGCCAGTTACCTGAGGGGAGTTCCACGTCCAGTGTGTACTTGTGGGATCCCAGCCCATGGCTCCTCAGGAACTCCTCTGGGTCACTGTGCTCATCCTCATCCCTGGAGGGGTCTTCCTCAGCTGTTTGGGCTAGTGTCTTCAGACTGACAACAGATCCTACATGGTATGCGGAGGCAACCAGGTCCTTGCTACAGCATGGCTGCTCTTCATTCTGGGATCCCGGGAGACCAGACTCACAAGAAGTTGCAAAGTCTGGGCTCAAGGTGCAAGGAACATGGCCCTCTGTTATGCCAGATGCCTCAGCAAAGAATTTATCCTCTGGGTATGGGCCCAAGTCCAAGGGCACCAGCAGCTTAAAGCAGTTCTCCACTTCCGTCAGGCAGGATCGGATTTCATCAGACATTTCTGCAGACATTGAAATACCTGCTTATTCCGTCATCTTGAGCCAAAGAGCGACAGATGGGCAAGACTGCTCCCCAAGGCACCAAAGGGAAGGCCATGATGCCTCCAAGGAAAGCCAAAGCCCTGGCACATAAATCATAACATTTCCAACTATTCAATGAACTATCTAGCGCAACAGCTCAGTCTTTGGAGTGCATCTCTAATCATGGTTGTGTGGCAGCTCACAGGAGCCTATGTGACCCCTACCACGGGCCAACCTTCCACTTAGAATGGTGGTGCCAGAGAGGCCACCCTTCCTGTCAGGGCAGGACATGCCATCACCACTACACACTTTACAGGGTGCCCCCTCCTGGAGCCCTCTAAGCCATCCACAGCACAGCTGTCTGCCTGCAGCCTTTCCCAAGGCCTGGGCTTTCAAGGCCCATACCCAGGACAAGTGTACGTGGGGAGCTCTGGACACAGAAAGAACCTAAAACCAGCATCCCAGAACAGAGAGCACTGCCCCGTCTCACAAGGGCTGGCTCCAGGAAGGATGAGGACCTGGGGAAGGCAACTAGCAAGAACAGATGTTGGACATAAGAATGGGCAAGAAGGCCTCTGGCTAGTGACCAAGTGTAGACTCCTTCCTGGATTCAAGCCTATGTCCAGCCTCTCTGTTCAGAGAGTCTTAAGCCGAGTAGTTCCAGGAAGACCAAATCACCAGGAGACACATGATCCACAGGCAGCCTGTGAAGGCTCAAGCCCATCCTGAACCATTCTGTCTTGCACACCTGCCTGTGTGGCCACAGCTAGACTGAAGAACAACTAGGGAATAAGCACAAGGAGCTACAGGGGACAGTTTCAAGGGCTAAGCCTAGGAACTCACCTTCCATCTCCCTCTTAGCCCGCTCAGCACTTTCTCTGTGGATTCTATCCAGGTGTTTCTGCTTCTCCTCTTCACGCTTCCTTTCTGCCACAGTCCTAGCATCAACATCCCGAAAATCCACCTGAGAAATTGAAAAGGAAGTTTAGGATTGCCTCCAACAAACCCAAACCCCAAGTAAAAAGAGACCCATTGCCATCAACACAAGGTCAGGATCTTGATGGTTCTTAGTCTACAGCATTTCAAACCAGACTGCCTCATCCTGCCGCATCTTCCACAGCCAGCAGCAAGTGCAACACTGTTAGGAGGCAGCATGCTCCTCTAACTGCAGGCCAGGGGTTGTCAGCAGGACCCAGAGGGTACACACCACCCAGGAGCGAACTCCAGAGAGTAGAGTAGAGGCACATACAGGAACCACAACCATGCAGGAAGGCTTGTGCTGCTGACAGGGCCATGACAGAATCTGCACGGTGACAGGAGGGCTGGAGACATACGGAACCTGGTGCCTCACTAAGTACAGCACCAGTGAGAGCCCATGGCCAGAACTAAGCAGGGTATTAGCAAGAGTAGAGTATGACCCAGTAGAGTATGCCCATCCTAGAGCAGAGGGCATCAAGGAGTATGATTCTATAGGATCGGCTCCACCCTCAGGCAGGTGTCAGGTGCAGTTTTCTTCCCCGAGGCTCTTCTACCCTTCAGGGAGCATCCTCCACTCTACCGCATGCTGACCCAGCTGCCTTGCCTACCCAGGTCTGTACACCCTGCCAAACACTCAATGAGAAGAGCTCTTTCACTAATTGGCTAGTCAGTCTCACCCACCCCAGGGAAGCAGACTGTCCTGTCCAAGATCCACTTACCTTTTTGGTGTGCTTTAGGAAGTGGTAGCCCAAGGCTAGCTTCTTATAGGCCTCCCCGAACTTCTCATTCCAACCTTCCACAGCCTGCATGGCTGCCTGCTTTAGCCTCTGGGCTGCCTCCCGTGGGGGTGGCAGGGGATTGTCATTATCTGTGCCCAGAGTGAGCTCTAGGAATTCCTGGAAGTCAGAAACGAGCAGCACTCTGAACTGGTGAGACCTGGTGAAGAGCGCATCCACGATCTGGAAGGCTGAGAGGCGGATCTCAGCATGGTCCTGGGTCAGCTGTGTCTTCAGCAGGTGGTAGGCATGGCTCAGCTGCTCCTCGGAAGACCTAGGAGCACAAGCCAGCCTAACCAAATGCTCACTCATGAAGGACAAAGAAGCATCACTCTTTGTGTAGGGACACTACATTTACAAGTGGCAGGGACTGTGCTTAGCATCCAATCTTTAGTCTTCCCTTCTAAAGCTGAGTGGACAGACCTGTGTCTAAGCACCAAATGTGGCCCGCTCCCGTCCTGTTTCAGTACTGCCCATGAGCCAAGAACATCTTCCACATTTTCCAATGGCTAACGCAGCTGTTGATGTGGCACAGTGATAAAGCACCTGACTAGCATGACCTACAGCACTGCCAAGATAAATACCATGGTTGAAACACATAAAAGGATACCTTTTTGACATACGAACATTAAGAATCAAATGTCATGGGCTGGAGAGATGGCTCAGTGGTTCAGACCCCTAGCTGCTTTTCTAGAGGACCTGGGTTTGATTCTTAGCACTCACATGAAGGCTCACAACCATCCCTAACTCTGCTTCTAGGAGGTTCTGCATACACTTAAGGCCTCTCTGGGCAGCAGGCATAAACATGGTGCACAAATATACATGCAGGCAAAACACTCATACACATAAAATAATTTAAAAAAAAAAAATGCTGCCGGGCGGTGGTGGCGCACGCCTTTAATCCCAGCACTCAGGAGGCAGAGCCAGGTGAATCTCTGTGAGTTCGAGGCCAGCCTGGGCTACCAAGTGAGTTCCAGGGAAGGCACAAAGCTACATAGAGAAACCCTGTCTCGAAAAACCAAAAAAAAAAAAAAAATGCTAATGAGTTTTGTTGAAACACAGCTACCCCTGGATGGTCCCCAGCTGCTTTCACAGTTGACATCCACAGTGTATGCAGATCCTTCACAGTGTAACTGTTAAGACAGGAAAACAGGGCAGAGGGTGAGGTTCAGAAGGCCTTGTGCAAAGCCTTAAAAGATTAGATGAAAAAACAAGTTGGCAAAGAAGATCGTAATCCCCAGATAAGATCAACTAAACATGCTGGTGCCATTGGCACAGGAACAGAGGTACTCCAGAATGTCTGAGAGTAACCAAAGGTTCATGATAACACTAAAATACACAACCCTGGGTGGAAAGTTAAGATGTTAATGAGTCCTGTGATACATGAAGTTGTATATAGAACTATATATAACAGAACATACACAGAAAGCTTGTACTATGTAAATAAGCTTCCCTTGGAAGTATATCCATCCTTCCTTCCTCACTTCCTCCCTTCTTCCCTCTCTTCCATCCTAAAAAGATGCACTACTAGTGTATGTGTGTGTTAGTGCAGGTACACACATGCCAGGGCATGCTTGTGGAGGTCAGGAGTTGGTTCTCTCACTCCCAGAACCAATGCAGGTTATCAAGCTTGTAAGGTAAGTACTTTACCCACTGAGTCATCAGCATGCCAGCCGCTTGAATATGCCCCCCAGAAGATAATCTGGTTGGTCATGAGCGAAGGTTAGAAGTCAGCCCTTCATGAATCAAGGGATGCTGTAAAAGTCACACATCAGGGGCTGGGTGTGGTGTCGCATAGCTTAAATCCCAGCACTCCAGAGGCAGAGCCAGGGGGACCTCCATGAGTCTGAGGCCAGCCAAGGCTACACAGTACAACCCTGAATCAAAACGAAAAATTAAAAATAAGAGAAGTCACACACTACCGTGTCCTGTGGCAACTCTCTGGTAAGGACCAGTAACTTCAAAGGAGCCCGTTAAACCACACCCACACATCCCTGAGCAATCACTTTCTTCTGTCTCCTCTTTTCACTTGACGTGAGGCATAGGGGAGAGAGGGTGCTGGGTGGATGCTCAGAGACTCAGTTATGCAAGCATCTGTCCAGCTGGCTCTGGGCAGTGATAATGGTACAGAGGCTCCAGTCTGGGACGAATCTGGTCACTAGATCTGATGTATGCAGCTACGTCCTGGTGCTTTCCTGCACCAGGGAAGCCCTGCTTGCCTCTCTCCAGTCTTATCCTTCTGTTCAGACTCCTCACTAGCACTCTGGACCTCTAGATAGCTTCCCTGTGCCACCCATTTCCTACCCTCTTCTGCCTTGTCCTCCCTGCTCATTTACAGTAGACACTCCATCTCTAAGGCCACTGATTTAGCTTTCCAGATATTTTATATTCCCTTACTTATGAGGTCAAAGGCAAAGAGTAAGATTGCCTGTTTCCACTTTTAACCTGAATGACAATCTGGAAAAATACAGAGCCATCCATGTAGTAGAATATTATTTTAAGGTGTGCTACTACTGTTTATGCTGCGTTTGTTTAACCCTGTGAAGCTGTGTTACTGTGCCTGTCTAAAACACCTGATGGTCTAACAAAGAGCTGAATGGCCAATATCGAGGCAGGAGAAAGGATAAGCAGGACTGGTAGGCAGAAAGAATATACAGGAGAAATCTGGGAGGAGAAAAGAAGTAGCCAGAGAAGAGAGAGGACTCCAGGGGCCAGCACCCAGCTACACAGCCAGACGTGGAAAGAGAAGGTATACAAGAATAGAGAAAGATAAAAACCCTGAGTCCAAAGGTAGACGGGCTAATTTAAGAAAGGCTGGCAAGAAAAATGCCAAGGCCGGGCATTCACAATTAAGAATAAGTCTCTGTGTGTGATTTATTTGAGACCTGGGTGGCAGGCCCCTAAAATAGAGCAAAAAAAACAAACAACACATCCATTCAAGCAAACCTCTTCTCTGACTAACCTGGCTGCCTAGAAATTTTTTTTAATGATTTATTTAACTTTATTTTATGTGCATTTGTGTCAGATCCCCTGAAACTGGAGCTACAGACAGTTGTGAGCTGCCAGGTGGGTGCTGGGAATTGAACCCGGGTCCTCTGGAAGAGCAGCCAAGTGCTCTTAACCACTGCACCATTTCTTCAGTCCCTCCTTAGGACATTTTAGAGACTCTCAGGAGAAGCCTTTTTCCACCAAGGTAGAAAGAAATGTGCCTGTAGCGGAGACTTTCATTCCAGACCCAGGAAAGTTAATGTAGGATATGATCCCTGAAGAGACAGGACTAGCTGGCTTCAACTCTAGATGAGAATGAGAAACAGAAAAGCTGAGGCCAAAAAAGCAGTGTTTCTTTCTTTCTTTCTTTCTTTCTCTCTCTCTCTCTCTCTCTCTCTCTCTCTCTCTCTCTCTCTCTCTCTCTCTCTCTCTCTCTCTCTCTCTCTCTCTCTCTTTCTTCAGTTTTTCAAGACAGGGTTTCCTCTGTGTAGTTTTGGTGCCTGTCCTGGATCTCGCTCTCTAGACCAGGCTAGCCTTGAACTCACAGAGATCAGCCTGGCTCTGCCTCCCGAGTGCTGGGATTAAAGGTGTGTACCACCACCACCCAGATAAAGCAGTGTTTCTAACCCTCTGTAAGCCTCACTCAATTCACCTGGAACCCCTAGGGAGTGTGATGGACTGGGGGACATCCGAATCCTTCAAGTCTCTTGAGGATTCTACACACAAGTCAGAGGGAGGTATCTTCCAACTCCAGAGGCTGCTGCTTGTCTCTCCTCTCAAGATACATCCTCTGTTATCTTGGAGGCCCGGCAACAGTGCATCCTCAAGAACTGATATTATGTTTGATCCTAGGCTGTCAAAATGGCTTGGCAGGTGGATATGCTTGCTGGATATGTCTGGTAATCTGAGTTAGATCCCTGGAACCCACATAAAGGTGGAAGGAGAGAACCAACTCCACAAAGCTGTCCTCTGACCTCCACAAGTGTGCAGTGATACCTGCATGCACCTATTTGAATGTACATGTGCACTAATGTGTGCACACATATACAAATAATACATTTCAAAAATCAGATAAATATACTTGATCCTGAGAACCTAAAGAAAAAGAGGTTAATATTTGACTGTAACATCTTCTGGTCTCAATATAGGCTGGCTGGTGGGAGGTTTGGCCAAAGGATGGAAGGATCTATACTTGGTCCTCACTATTTGTACTCCTGACAAAAAGTAGAGGATCTAGGAAGAAGAGGAAGTATGCCAATAGATTATTTACTCAAACTCTCACTTCTGTCAGTTCTGAGTGAATAGCCTCCCAGGTTAGGAACCCACTAATTGGAATATAACACCCCCAGCAGGGACCCACAGATGTAGGTTGGTGATTGAAAACCTCCTTGCAGGGATAAAAAGTTAAGAAACCTGTTAACTACAAGAAAACCAGAAAAGTTGTTCCATGTCTTAGTTACTTTTCTGTTGCTGTGAGAAGATACCATGACCAGAAGAAAAAGTTTATTTTGGGCTTGGAGTTTCAGAGTATTAGAGTCCAAAACGGTGGAGTATCAGCTGAGAGCTCATATCTTAAACCACAAGCAGGAGGAGAGAGAGCTTGGGGATAGATAGCAGGAGGCTTTTGGAGCCTCAAAGCCAGCCTGGTGACACACCTCCTCGAACAATAAAAACTACTGAGGTGCCTCAGGAATTTTTTTTTCTTTCTTTTTTTTTTTTTTAGTTTTTTGAGACAGGGTTTCTCTGTGTAGCTTTGGAGCTGATCCTGGAACTCGCTCTGTAGACCAGGCTGACTTCAAACTCACAGAGATCCACCTACCTCTGCCTCCTGAGTGCTGGGATTAAAGGTGTGAGCCACCACTGCCTAGCACCTCAGGAAATTATTAATGTGGTTGGGAGATGTTAAATTTCTTTGCAATATGGGGTTTGTTCTCTGCAGGTCCAGATTATTGGGTTTGTTTGTTTTGGTCAACTTGACACAAGCTAAAGTTATGGGGGGGGGGGAACCTTAGTGGAGACAATGTCTCCATTAGGTTGCCTGTAGGCAAGTCTATGGGGACACCCCTGGGCAGGTGATCCTAGGCTGTATAAGAAAGCAGGCTGAGCAAGCCATAGGGAAGAAGCCAGTAAGCAGCACTCCTCCATGGCTTCTGCTTCAGCTCCTTTCTCCTTTCTTCAAGATCCTGCCCTGATTTCCCTCCATGGAATGTGACCCAAGAGTTTTAAGATGAAATAAACCCTTTCCCTGCAAATTGCCCCTGGCCACACTGTTTTTATGACAGCAACAGAAAAGTAACTAAACACAGCCTTAAGTAATAATTCAGAATCCCTTACTACATAAACTTGTGCACAACCAGGGTTGATGGGGATGCTCAAAGGCCAAAGGAGCTGTTGTTTTCAGCTCCAATCTCTGCGATTGCCCAAATCATGGTCAATAACAGGCATACCACTTGAGGCCCTCATCTAAAAGTTATGAACCTTCCTATATCCATAGATTACTTCTGCAGCTAGACTGTAACTTGTAGATATCCAGGGTACTTGTAAGCTATACCAGCCACAGCAATGCTCAGACAGGAACTCATTAAAGATATAAATACCTTCTGTTGTTTCTCACAGCTTCTCAGAGCAGACAGAGGCCTACCTCATCCAGACTAGAAGAACTCAAGTTATTTTTGATGTCCAGCAACTAATGAAAGAACTTAGTATCTAGAATAAAACCTGTTTTGAGTCTTCACTGTCTCAAGAATGCCTTAAAGTGGGGTTGGAGAGATGACTCAGTGGTTAAGAACACTTGTTGCTCTTGCAAAGGACCTGAGTTCAATTCCCAGAATGTATATAATGGCTCACAACTATCTGTAACCCCAGTTCCAGGGGATCCAACAAATACACACATGATGCACATACATGCATGTGAGCAAAGTATTCAAAGTAAATAAATAAAACAAAGTAAATAAATCTTTTTTAAATTATTAAGAATGCTGCCAGGCGGTGGTGGTGGTGCACACCTTTGATCCTAACATTCGGGAGGCAGAGGCAGGTGGATCTCTGTGAGTTTGAGGCCAGCCTGGTCTACAAAGTGACTTCCAGGACAGGCGCCAAAGCTACAGAGAAACTCTGGCTCGAAAAACAAAATGAAGCAACAACAACAAAAAATTAAGAATGCCTTAAAGACAATGGCATTTACACGGCAAACTATTTTTTAAAAAAAACTTAAAAATTCTCTTCGCCAGGCGGTGGTGGCGCACGCCTTTAATCCCAGCACTTGGGAGGCAGAGGCAGGCGGATCTCTGTGAGTTCGAGGCCAGCCTGGTCTCCAAAGCGAGTTCCAGGAAAGGCGCAAAGCTACACAGAGAAACCCTGTCTCGGAAAAACGGAAAAAAAAAAAAAAAAAACCAAAAAAATTCTCTTCAAACAAACAAAAAAGATGTCTTCTTAAATATAAAGGTAAGTCCTTTTTTCAAATCTATCAGTGGTAGTAACCTTATGTCATGTTCAGTTTTCTTCAGTACTCGTGAGGGTGTATGCAAGTGGGTGTCCATGTTCATATGTGTACAGGGGCATGTGTATGTACAGTTGTACATGTATGTGTGTATATGCATGAATGTGTGTACATGTGAAGGTCAGAGATCAACATCAGGTGTTGTTCCTCAGGAGTTGTCTACTTTCACTGGGATCTGGAATTCAGTGTTAGCCTACACTGGATGCCATCGAGAGCCAGTGATCCTCATGTCTCTGCCGTCCCAGCACTCTGCCATTACAATGTATGCCACACACCCAGCTTTCTGCATGTATTATGGGGATCAGACTCAGGTCCTCACGTTTATTCAGCAAGCACTTGGACAGCTAAGACATCTCTCCAGCCCTTTATTACCTTTTTTATTTTTATTCTGTTGGTATAAGATATATTCAGTGATTACAATCTCAGACTATTTTCCTTTTACTCTATTCTAACATTGGATTCCTTCTTCAAATTATTCTTTTGCATCTCAGATTCTCAATATATAACCATCAGTGTGGTTTCCTTTTCTTTTCCAAGCCTAAGGGACCTATCTCATTCCTAAACTCAAAAGTTAAGGTAAGGTTAGCTGTCCTACAAGGCTTGATGGCTCTCAAGATGTCAGCAACAGCCCAGGAGTGAGCTCACCTAATGCTCAAAGAGAAGTGCTGGTTTGGGGTCAACAGGGTAAGACAAGTCCAAATCTGTATTTGAAGTATACTGGGGAAAGCTGCATCAGTATGGCTCTCCTGGGCAAACACATGGTCATGGTTTTCCTGACTCCTGCCCTGTGGAGGCCTGTGTTGGTTAATTTTTTGTCAGCTTGACACAAGCTTGGGCATCCAGGAAGAGGGAACCTCAATTGAGAAAATGCCTCCAGTAGATTGAGCTAACGGCAAGTAATGTGGGAAGGCCCAATTCATTGTGGGTGATGTCACCCCTGGGCAGGAGGTCCTGAGTTATAAAGAAGCAAGCTGAGCTAGCTATGGAAGCAAGCCAGTAAGCAGCATTCTTCCACGGCTTCTGCTTATTTCCTGCCTCCAGGTTCCTGCCTTGAGTTCCTGTCCTGATGGACTATAAGATGTAAGATGAAATAAACAATTCCTCTCCAGGTTACTTTGGCCATGGTGTTTATCACAGTAACAGGAAGCCAATGAGGTCAAGGCCATTGGCTGTAGTTATCATGCTACTCTTGTTTGGACATTGAATTTTTAATTTCTTTGTTTTCTAAGTATTGTCACTTAAGACACAGCAATTTCAGACTCAACTGAAGAATCCAAATTCTCCTTCCCAGTCACTAAATAGTATTTTTGTGGTCCCTCTTACACATCCTGAGATATCATGGAAGTAGTTAGAGAAGCTAAATGATCATTCCTTTTACTTAAAAAATCACTGTTGTTTGACTCATGATGTGTGTGGGGGTATGCATTCCACAGCACATGTGTGGAGATAAAAGGACAACCCTATGGAGTTGGTCCTCTCCTCCTGCCTTCACATGGGTGGAAGGATTAAACTCAGGTTGCCAGGCTCACATAGGAAGCACCTTTACCATCCTAACAGCTACCAGGTTACCATTCTTCAGCTTCCTTGCTTCCCTAAATGATTCCTAAAACCATAGACCTCAGGTGGAAAGTGAGGTCCAAAAGGCCTTGTATAAAGCTTACATAATTAAAATGCACCCCCAGGGGGATTTATGATGCTAATGATGCATTGTATTAGTTACTTTTCTATTGCTGTGATAAGACACCACAATCAAGGAAACTTACAGAAGAAAGAGTTTACTGGGGCTTACGGTTTTAGAGGGTGAGTCCATGATCATCATGGTGGGAAGCATGGCAGCAGCAGGCAGGCATAGTGCTGGAGCAGTAGCTGAGAGCTCACATCTTGAGACAACATGAAGCAGAAAGAAAGCTAACTAGGAATGGAGCGGGCTTTTAAAACCTCAAAGTCCACCCCCAGTGACACACCTCCTCCAACAAGACCATACCTCCCAGTCCTTCGCAAACCATTCCACCAACTGGGGACCAAGCATTCAACCATATGAACCATTCTCATTCAAACTACCACAGACATGGAATGCATGACTAGTAAAGTAAAAAGACAACATATAGAGCAGGAAAAGCTCACAATAAGGTAACACAAGAGCCCAGCTCTTTGTATAGTAGGGATATTTGAGATGTTAAATTTTCTCCCTTCTCTAGCCAGCTTCCTCCCTTGGAAGGGTATTCATTCTTAACAAATTCTCTTCCTTTACTTGCTACTATCCACATTTCTCTGTTCAAGTCTTTGTTCTGAGACACAAAAACCTGGAACCCCTCCAGAAGTGTCCTCTGAACCTCAGTGTCAGCAGGACAGCTCCAGGTGCATAGCCCCAGCCTCTTCTACAGGAAATGGAGTGAAAGGTCCTCACAGTCCTCCAGGTGGCTCCTCTTCCCCTCTACAACACCCTGTGTAAATCAGAGCTCAGAGTTTTTCTGGGGTGTGCAGCAAAACCAGGTCTGGACTAGAGGGTTTATTGAATGTAAATACTCTTATCACTTCATAAAGAATCACTTAAGTTTTTTTCCTTTTGTGACCAAGGCAAATGAAGGAATTTTGCTTCCTCATCAAATATGACTGCCTTAAGTGGTAAGGCAGGGTGCTTTCTTTGGAGGGACTAATAAGGATGAGAATAACTACCTTAAAGACAGGGAGAACACTGAGGGCACATACCTCTGAACACAACCGAGCACTTGCTAAGTAGAGGCAGGAAGATCAGAAATTCACAGTCAGCCTTAGCTACACAGTAAGAGGTCAACCTGGGTTACTTAAGACTCTGTCTCAAATAAAACAAAAAAGAAAGAGAAAGTAGAGGTAGGGGTAGTTGTGGCACAGTTTACCTATCAAGCTTGAGGCTCGTGGGTTCATCCCTAGAGCGTGGGGGTGGGGGGGCACTCACTCAATCATGAATGCCTTACTCCAACAGTAAAAAAGATGCTCTACTTTTACTGACATAGTACGATTGCTTTATAACATACAGAAATGGTCAGAGGCACCAAGCTAGGAACCTGTGCTACATTCTGGACCAATGTACACTGAGATTACAGCCCTGAAACTCTTTTTTTTTTTTTTTTTTTTTCTGTTTTGGTTTTTTCGAGACAGGGTTTCTCTGTGGAGCTTTGGCCCCTTTCCTGGATCTCGCTCTATAGACCAGGCTGGCCTTGAACTTACAGAGATCCGCCCGTATCTGCCTCCCGAGTGCTGGGATTAAAGGCGTGTGCCACCACCGCCCGGCAGCCCCAGAACTCTTTTAGCGCTTTTTTCGAGACAAGGTTTCTCTGTGTAGCTTTACTCCTTTCCTAGGACTCACTCTGTAGCCCAGGCTGGCATGGAACTCAGAGATTTGCCTGGCGCTGCCTCCCTAATTAAAGGCGTGCGCCACCATCGCCGGCTCTTTTAGCGCTTCTTTAGTTTCTGACACAAGGTCTCATTATGTAGCCTACCCTGGCCTGGAACTCATGATCCCCCTGCCTCCACCTCCCAACAGGCAAGTGCTTTAATGCCCCAGTGATCGGGTAACTCCTTTCCAGAAGGCAGGAGGTGGCAGAGATATACAAGAGGGCAAAAGGGTTCAAATGGTGTGGGTGCTCAGTGGGCCAGTTATTATACACGCTTAACCTAAATACATACTTGCAAATTTTCTTCAGTTCCTTCATTTTCTGAGCATTCAGTTGGGATTCTCCTGAAGTTGTGAGCTCCTCTATCAACTGTGAAAGTTTCTGATCCATATCTAGAAACGAGGGACGCAGAGACGCAGGGTTAACATCCAGTACCTAACAGTCTTGGTTTTTTAAACAAAGCTTAATGGGGGACCTCCAAGTATTGGGGACTATGGCAAAGGCCCTAGTGTGTCTCTGTAGCCTCCCAGGCGAAGGAAGCTAGCTAGCTCATTATCACTGAAGACCATCAAGACCTTCGATGGTAATTAGCTAAGGTTCTGAAGATGACATTAACTCTGGCGGTCTACCGTCAGCTATATGGGAGGCGAGGCGAGCCGGTCCTGGCTCTTTAAGGGAAAATGTCACTAAATTATACTCAAACTGGCCTTCGCAAGCTGGCCGCACAGGATACTCGCTCTCTGCAAGCGATAGCCTCTGGACAACTGCAGGGGCGACCGATCCGTCGAGGATCTATCTGGACGGTCACGACCCTCAGTGCGCTGCACTCGGCTGCCTGACCCTCCGCCTCAGGAAACCCAGTACCAGCGTTCCGCGGCCGATGTGACACAGACCGCCGGATGAGGCAGCTCGCTTCGCCCACCCTTTCCGGTGGAGGGAGCTCCCTGTCACCGGGCCCCAGAGCACGGAGGGCATAAATTCGCGAAAGCCCGCGGCGCAGGAGCGGAAGTCATCGTGACGCGCGACGGGACCGCCCTCGTCTCGCCCCTTCCAGACGAGTCCCCGGCCAGTTTCCGTCATTTGCCGGGGTGGCCCCACAGCGCAGGCGCGAGGACGCAGCAACGCGGTGACGCAGATGCGTTTCTAGGGGGCGGGGTAGTTCTGGAACTACGCGCGAGAAAAAGGAGGCGGGAGGGCGCAGCAAGTTCTTAAAGGGGAGGTGTCTCTGGGGCAGCGATCGGAAACAGGCGCAGAAAGAGGTTTTGGTCTGGGCATCAGTTCCTTGGCCACCAGGAGGCTCGTGGCTTATGTACAGGCCCTGTACATCTGCTAAGAAAGCTCAGAAGGAAGTCTGGGCCAATCCGGTGGGGAGGGGTCGGCCAGCCCCCGCTGACCGGGTCAGCTGTCCACTCCCGAGGCCCGGCCATCCTAGGAGGCACAGATGCGAGGATGCTCCAGGGTAGTGGTGGTTGCACCGATTGGAAATTTTAAAGTGTCAGTTCTGTCTCAGCGTAGAATGATTTTAAAGGATACAGAGGCTCATGGCTAGAGCTGCTTGCTCCCTTCCCTACATGTCCCGGTCACTGGCTCTTGCAGATCACGCAGCTTCAGCCATTAGCCAGCTCTCAGTTGCACAGACCCCGGCCACTCACTTCATCCCTCTCTCAATTCGTTCTGCCTTTTGGAGTCAGCCTTTCCTCTGTTAGTTCCTGCTTCACCCAGGAAAGTAGCGGCCTTCCCTGTGTACCCTACCTTGAGCGGCTCTCCACCCACAGAGCCGACATTCAACACGTGCCCTGAATTTGGGCCAGTGACCAGAGTCAACTGGACTTTTCTTCTCACTTGTAGGAGGATTTGGCAACCCAACTTCAGAATATGTTCAGGATCTGAGCTCTTCCCACAGCCTCGTGGCCATTGCCAGGTCCCCAGTCCCTGTATACTTGAGGGGTCACGATTGTGGCCTGCTGCTTCCTCACTTCACATGCTCACACAAAGATAAGTCAAAGATTTGCGCCCCCCCCCCAAAAAAAAACACTGAAGAATGTCTTTAAGATACTTTTATTACATTTCTTTATTGGGGGTTAGAAGGTGGGCCCTTTTGTGGAATCAGGACAACTTGTGAGAGCTAGTACTCTCCACTGAGTGGGTTCCACCACTCAAACTGAAGTTGCCAGGCTTGGTTAAGTGCCTTTACCAGCTGAGCCATCTCAGCAACTAGAATATCTTAAAGTAGTAACAGAAAAGGTGCTGTCGAGCCAGACTTGTATACATGTGCAGCAAGACATCCTTCAAAAGCTGAGCTTGCTGCAAACAGGAGCAAGCAGTTGCATGCCAGCAAGTCACAGGGAGTCCCTTCTGAGAAGGAGATGGATGATACTAGATGCAGATTCCGAGACTGAAGAACTAACTAAATGATAAAGCTAATGAAATAATTTCAAATTTCTTTTATAAGCCACAGTTCAATAGGTTATGCAGTTTAATATTCAGGAAAAAATATGACAAGTTACTCAAGTGACATGGAGGGGGAAAATGGTAGTATATATTCTAAGAGTTGTGTTCTTACATAAACTGGTATACTACTTAAAGGAACATTGTGATAAACAGTCACATATGGCATTTCAGTTAATGAGAGACCAAATCCAACACCTAATGACATAGCAGACTTTTAAGTATTCTGTGATCACAAAACAGTGTAACTGCCTAATGTCCCATGTCTAAGAACATATCATTACCATCAAGTGAACCCCAAAGTAAAAAAATAAATTAGATACAAGGCTGGAAGTGTGGCTCACTGATAGAGCATTTACTCAGCTCTAGATTTGATCCCCCCCCCCCCCACAAATGGGACATCACTAGTAAGACTGCAAAGATAAAATGGGATCAATTTAAAATAAAGTGGATACAGGTGAAAATGAGAGAGAACAGAGAACAGAGCAGACAAACAGGAAAAAAGTAGCTGACAACAGACTTAAATCTAACAGAAGAGTTACATGTCAAAGACAGGCCTGGTGACACATGCCTTTAATCCCAGGACTGAACTTTAATTCTTATACTTGGGAGGCAAGGGCAGGTGGATCTTTCTAAATTCAAGGCCAGCCAGGTCTATATAGTAAGTCCCATGATAGCCAGAGCTATTTAGGGAGACCCTGTCTCAACAACAACAATAATGGCAAAAGTCTGTATGGGGGCCTTCATTGGTCCTCAGGCCAACAATTCAGAGAGGTAGCCTACCCCTCGCACTGAGATTTTCATTCAATAACCTATTTGTTCTTTTCCCCACCTACTCAGATACCTTCATTCAAAGTGTTTAAATGCTGATTTTGCTGTTCTTCCAGATGCTTTGCCAAACTCGTAAGACACTCAGAGGCTAGTGTTAAATAATGGGACCTTTATACAAAGGGTGGGCAGGAGCTCTGACGATTCACTGCCTTCCACTCAAAGTAAGTGAGACTTGGTCTTGGGACTCAGTAACTATGAGGAAACTAAACAAGCCAGCAAGATCTAAAAAACAAAACAAAACAACAAAAACATGTTTTCCTGCCAAAAGAGCAATGTTGGGTACAGCAGTTTTGAGTACAGCAGCATGGGCTGGCGGCACTATTCTGAAATCTATCCCTCCACAATCCATGTAGCCCCCTCAACCACACTTTCATGTTCAAAGGGCCTGGGGGAGGTGGGTGGCTGGAGAGATGGCTCAATAGTTAAGGGCACTTGCTTCTCTTGCAGAAAACCTGGGTTCAATTCAAACCCAACACTTACATGGGAATTGTGGCTCACAAGTGTAACTCCAGTTCCAAGGGATCTGATACCCTTTTCTGGCTTCTGTGGGCACTGTATGCATGTGGTACACATACACCCATATACACATACAGGCAAACACTCATACACGTAATTTTTTTTTTCTAAAAACGTCTTGGAGTGACACAGTAATCTATCAACTTTATAGGCTCCAATTTACCCAAATACATCCCTCAAACAGAATTCTCCAATGGTTGTGCACACAGTGTATTCCAGCAGTACCACCCTTCCTGTTTTGTTTTTGATTTTTTAATTTTATTTAGTTACATGCATGTATGTGCACCATGTATGTACCTGGTACCCTAGGTTAGAAGGCATTGGATTCTCTGGTACTAGTCACAGATGGTTGTAAGCCACCATGTGGGTTTGCTGGGAACCAAACCTGGGTGCTCTGCAAGAGCAAGTGCTCTTAATCACTGAGCCATCTCTTTAGCCCCCAACTCCACATTCTTTTTTTTTTTTAATTTATTTAATTTTATATACATAGGCCTGTGGGTTTCAGATCCCCTGAAACAGTTGTGAGCTGCCATGTGGTTGCTGGGAATTGAACCCTGGTCCTCTGGAAGAGCAGCCAGTATTCTTAACCACTGGGCCATCTCTCCACCCCCACATTGTTTTCTTATAGGGAGAAATATACAGTGTACTTAAAAGAGTGGGGAAGAGCCGGGCGGTGGTGGCGCACGCCTTTAATCCCAGCACTCGGGAGGCAGAGGCAGGCGGATCTCTGTGAGTTCGAGGCCAGCCCGGGCTACCAAGTGAGTCCCAGGAAAGGCGCAAAGCTACACAGAGAAACCCTGTCTCGAAAAACCAAAAAAAAAAAAAAAAAAAGAGTGGAAGAATTACTCACCCACAGGATAAGCTTAAGTCTTTTTTTCTAGTACTGCTCTGGACCTCTGGGTCCATCTGCTGCTGACTCTTCTTGTTCTTGGTGCTTTTGGGTGTTGCCATAAACTAAAGTACACTTGGCTCCAGTATCCACTAAAGCCCAAATTTTGCTTATTAGTAGGGACCAACAAACATGTAATTCAATGTGGGGCCTTGGACCACCCTGCAGGCAACATTGACCATCATGTTAAGGGTGCAGTTGAGATTTCCGTTTTGTGAGAGCTCCTACCTCCACAGCAGTGGGAATGCACTGGAGGAATGACACCTGAAGTTATTCTCTAGCTTCCATGCATGCACACACACACCTATACACATATAAAACTGTGGTGGTTTCAATGAGAATGGCCCTTACAGGCTCACATTTGAATGCTTAGTCTCTACTTGGAACTGTTCAGGAAGGATCAAGTGTGGCCTTTTTGGAAGAGGTGTGTCCCTGGGGGTGGGTTTTGTTCTAAAAGCCCACACCATCCTTAGTTCTCTGCCTCATGGCTATTATCTCAAGAGGTGACCATTCAGGTACTGCTCCTGCACACCTGCCTGCTGCCATCCATGCCTTCCACCATGATGGTCATGGACCCTAATGCTCTGGAGCTGTGAGCCCTCAAATTAAATGCTTTCTTCTATAGGCTGCCCCAGTCAGTGTCTTATCAAAAGACAGACAAAAACCTTGTATCAGTATCTTTATTTTGTCCTATTATCTATTCCCCCACCAAATCAGAGGCTAGCATGGAAAATGTCACCTGCATGTCCCTTCCCATGTGTCATTCCTCCCTCATGCAATCAAGTTCCCTTAAGGCAGACAGCTCAGCTTCGCCTGTATGACTTATCACCCAAGGCAGGAATCCTGCAACCGCCACTATGGCAGAGGGGCATGCCAACTTATACTACACTGAGAAAGCCAAGGCACCAAGAGACCAGAGAAAGAATTCCATTGAAGCCCTGCTTGATGAACCAATGAGTTTATTCGATTACTTACAGAACATGGGAGACTTGAAGGCAGCTACAGGACCAAGTGGTTCCCCATGTAACTGGTAAGTGGCTAGAACACCCCAACTCCCTTATCTGTTTATCCTGTATAATCCTGGTGAGGGGAGAAGCCTCTGGACCTTGCCTCTTTCCCCAAGAGAATGTTAACATGCTTAATCACATGAAGGTCATTTGCAGATGACTGCAGCTACTCTAAGGATGATAATGGCCATACCAACCCAAAGGACAACTACATTGTAGGAAAGCACAGAAAAGAAGTGCTGACGTCATTCTGCTACCACTTCTCACTGGTGCCACGGTAGAAATGGAAGGCCCCAGACAGGCTGTGGCTCCAGAATGAGGATAGAGGTGTCAACTGGTGCTAAGTCACAGAGACCCCCAAACAGGGCATAAGGTATCTCCAGAGAGTACTGGAAAGCAGTGGGTACCACAGGCAAAGTCTACCCCTGCCAGTCTGAACTGAGTGGCGTGGCCAAGGCAGCTTCCATGCACGAAGAGTCAGGACTGCAGAGTTAAACAGAGAGGAGCAGACAATGTCCTGAGTGGTATGGAGAAGCGAAGAGAACACTCAGACACCTGCTTGCTGGTATCTACAGCTTGAACCCTTGCCCCAAGAGTGGCTCCTAAGATCCCAAGAACAGAGACAACAGGAATCACTATCACGATCCACTTTGGCTCTCCAAAAACCTGCAGTGCTCCAGCTCCAGGTGGGCTCTGGCTAGGCCAGTAGGAGTCAGCTGTTAGCTTAGGCCTCTTGATATTTCTGCCCTCATTCCTCAGAAGAGCCCCTTGGAGGTTAGCAGGCTAAGTTGTGTATAGTGGACCAGGATAGATGTGCTGAGTCCTCTTTACTGTAGTGACAGGACAAACCCAGGACCCATACAGGTGCTGCATGGTCTAATGGTTGGCAGGGTAAGCAGAAGAGATCTGAGGTCTTAGAAACACCTCACACAAAAAATGAGAAATAGAAAGCTATTTTATTAACACGCTTTACATTTACAGTTCATTAGCTAATCAACATCAACATGCAAAAATAAGCGCTAGATACAAACCTCTACAATATGGTTTTGTGTGAATTACAATGGTTCATCTGTTTTGAAAACCCGTCAGTACTTATTTTAGCTCAACTATCAGTTTCTGTAATGAAAAGCATTTACACTCTAGGACTACGGAACCACCTGGCAAGGCCTGTGCAGAAACTCAGTCCAGTGGCTTTCCCGTGAATACATTCTCAAAGCAGGAGATAAGGCGGTGCTGGAAGGTGAGATACTGAACCTGTGCACAGACACAGCCCCAGACATCCTGGCCATGTGGGCGGAGCCTCCTCAAGTAGCAGCCCAGGAGTGTGTGGTGCATGGTGCTTTGGCAGCAGCTAGACAGTGAAGTCAGGAAAGGCCTCGGCACCATGTCACAAGTCACTGCAGCCAACCAGGCTGTGGCCAACACCTTGCCCAGGCTGTGGCCAACAGGAGTTGGCAAAGGACCAGCCTGCTCCTCAAGCTGCCCTGAGTCCCATCACTAGCAAAAGGAAGGAAATGGAGAAACACAGGGAAATAACCGATGAACCAATTCCTACTTCTGAGATGCTCTGGATTTCCTTGGTGTTCAGGTCACACTGTAGAGAAAGTTTCCTTTGAGAGGTGCAAGAACTTGCAGAGGCATCAGTCGACTTATGTTACAAAATCCTACCAATCAAACGCTGTTCTCAAGCACAGACTTATTAAATCTCACTTCCTCTTTTTCTAAGAGTATTTGTTGTTGCTCACTGATCTTTGGTCGCAAGAAACAAATGCCGAGGCAGGCTGGGGTCTGGGGTCAGGGGTCAGGGTAGGAGGTATGGCTCCCACCCACCACAGCCTCTGGCCGGAGGCGTGCACATGGCAACGCAGGGCCTACATGATGTACACTTTCTCAGCCTGGGAGAAGTGGAAGACTTCTTTGGTTCTTGGGCAAACAACTTTATCATCTTGACGGATAGAGAGCAGAGACTGAAAAGCAAGACCAGAGTTATGCATTAAAATGAGAAAATCCCACACAAAGCAAGACTTGAATTAAGGTTCATTCCACAAAATAAGCTACCATAGAATAAACCAGCTAATCTTTTTTTTTAAACAAAATTTTAGACTTATGTGTATGAGTATTTTGCCTGTATGGATGTACATATGCCTGATGCTTTTTGAAAGTAGCAAAGGGTGTCATATCCCATGGAACTTGAGTTACTCATGGAACTGGAGTTATGGATAGTTGTGAGTTACCATGCAGATATTCAGAACCAAACCCAGGTCCTCTACAAGAGCAACAATGCTCTTAACCACTGAGCCATCTCTTCAGCCTCAAGCCATCTAATCCTACAAAGTCACTTGAAGGCATACCTGTCAAAGAAACCTGAAGTTGTTCAAATGTGGTGCTACCCCAACCCTGGGGCCCCCTTACCCTCCACACAGCTGCTCTGCCCAGCCTAGCCTAGCCCACAGCCCTGACCGCCCAGGCCCCTCACATTGTAGCCATAGACGTAGCCGTTAGGCAGCATCATGGGTGGGTTGTTCTCATTCATCACGTCACCAGAGATCTTGCAGACCAGGCGGGAGTTGGCACAGTGAGCCATGGGCAGGGGCTGCGCCAGTTTGTTCAGAGAGCGGCTGCACACAGGGCAGTCAGGGCTCTTGGAGCTGCCATCCTCCTTGTAGCACTGCCTGTAAACACTGTTAAGGAAAGGCTGTACCAACAAGGTAAGCAGCAAGACAGGCATGTTGTGACCATTACTGTCTAGACATAGGGCAATCTTATGGCCACATAGAGACACCATGCAGAAAAAAAATAAGGCTATCTATCTATCATCCAAGGTGAAAAGAATGCTATAGCCATTCAATAACAATGGTCACCAAGACCGGACTCAAAACAAGCAACTAGCATGGCCACCAGTGGTACCTTGCACCCTTGCTGGTATTCTCATGCAAGAGTGAGACAGGGATGTTCTGGGTGACTGTCAGAAGGTGGTGGGCAAACACTTGTTTACTCTCCACTGTCCACCAGAGACAGTGAGAAGATGGGCCCTGAGCCTCAGCTTGGAACACAGCACAACAGGTATCAGCTGTGATCCCAGAACAGCCACTACTTGGTGAGACAGCTGTCACACCCAGAATGGGGCAGAATGGAGTTGGCTACATGTAACAATCAGGCCAGGCACATAAGGGATAGGGTTCAGCCAGAGTGGTAGGGTTTAGCCACACAATAGATACAGGTCATCCACATGAGAGAGAGAGAGTCACTCACATGAGGGGGTGGGGACAGACCTACAAGGGATGAGGTCAACCTGAGTTCTGACTACAGGAACCATACAAGGGATGGGAGTCAAACATATGTGGGAAGGTCAACCACACAAAGGACGAGAATCTACCATGGGGGCAGGGTGTGTGTGTGTCCATCACAGGAAGGAATAGGTCAGCCATGCAAGGGAGAGTCATACCCTTGTCAGAGCCATGACCATTATGAGTCAAGCTGAGAAGTCAAGCTAGCTGGACAGCTAGGGCTTAGGTCTTAAGGACTCCTGTATCCTCAAGTATCAGGTGCATGGCAACATTTGAGATGCAAAAGCCATGAAGAGTACACAGACTAAGGAAAGAAAGACCAAGCTACAGGTCCTGGGCCCTCCCTCTCAACCTTTACCCCAGAGGACAAGGCAGGGCATGGAGGATACGGTGTCTTTATTGCCGAGAGCCCAGCCTGCAGGGTGAGGGTGAAGACGGAGCTGTTTCCTAGCTGGTGCAGTCGGTAGTTGTCATATCGGAACTGCTGGATCAGCATCCGCCACCGGGCTGGGTCCAGAAGGTCCTGAAAGACAACATGCAAGTGCTGGGACCCTCCCCTGGCAGTTACTGGGAGGCCCAGCCAGTACAGATGCCCCAACTGTATTACAAGACCCCTGCTGGCTTAATGTTCCAGAACACTCCCTGGTGTGTATCCTGTGGTCTTGCAACTATAAAACAGAATCACAGACAATAAAAACTGAAAGGGAGGTCACTCCAGAGAAGAAATGCTAGACAGATGCTGCGGGATGTTGTGTATGGCAAATGTGTTGCTCTGATTGGTCAATAAATAAAACACTGATTGGTCAGTGGCTAGGCAGGAAGTATAGGCAGGACTAACAGAGAGGAAAAAAGAAAGAACAGGAAGGCAGAAGGAGTCACTGCCAGCTGTCACCATGACAAGCAGCATGTGAAGATGCCGGTAAGCCACGAGCCACGTGGCAAGGTATAGATTTATGGAAATGGATTAATTTAAGCTGTAAGAATTTAAGTTAGCAAGAAGCCTGCCATGGCCATACAGTTTGTAAGCAATATAAGTCTCTGTGTTTACTTGGTCGGGTCTGAGCGGCTGTGGGACTGGCGGGTGACAAAGATTTGTCCTGACTGTGGGCCAGGCAGGAAAACTCTAGCTACAGACAGACGATAAAAGATGACCGCAGCTCAGAAGAACTATGCCTGGCTAGTGTGTGTGTCTTAGACACAGATAAGGAATGCACATATACAAGAGCAAAGGAGGTAAAACTTCAGCATCATTAGGGTCACAACATACTTCCCTCCCACCCTTTTATAAAAACACTCTTTTCAGTATTACTTCTATAAAGACAGTCTACGGAGCATTATGCCCAGTCTGGGAGGCTCTCACAGAAGGGAGAGCATCAGTCCTCAGGGTCCTTCTCCTGAGGCCAGGACACCACTTTCCTCTGAAGGAAGCTTCCTCTCTGTCTTCCTCACCAGTGCCCTGGCTCTTTCCTCCTTAATTTACAAAAGCCATTCTTCCAGTTCTCTTTTTAGCTTGCTGTACCCTAAATTGCCTGACTGTCCCCAAGACAAAGGTTTCCAGCATGATCTTGGTCTTTCTCTTTCAGGTCACCAAATTTCTGTCACTGACTAATGCTATCCCTTTTACCCTGCTGACCGTGACCCCATGAGTAAGTAGGCGTCTCCCTGTGCTCACTGGTGGGACAGCAGGTATGTCCTACCTCTCTCTGTATTATGAGGCCTCACATTAGATGGTTCATCTTCTAACTCAGATGCCTCAGGCCCAAACCAAACCTTCTCCAATGTAGTGAAGAGAGATTTATGACATCAGTTTAAAAAATGTGTTTAGACATTCTGACACTCTGGCTTCACGGCATTTCAATACATGATGCCTCATACCTCAAAGCTGGGAGCGTTTGCTAGGGCTTAGAGCAAATCCAGCAACTCCAAAACTGGGTCTACTCAGGCATGCTGGCACTGTGGGTGAGGCTGCAGGGCAGACACAAGCCTCTGACAGAGACCAGTCTCAAGGCTCAGGGAACAAAGTATATAACTCTATGAGCAAAGCCTGTACCTAATGCCTTCAGAGGTTGTGGCTTGATGAGGCCATACTTGATGAACAGAGGTAAAAGCCATAGGCTGCTTACTCAGGGTCAGGCACAGATACCCCAATGTGGGGCTGAAGTTTGTACAAAGCTGTCTAAGCAATGGAGCCATGACCACATCTGCTCCCAGAACCTCTCTCACCACAGGCCAGTGATCAGGGGGCTGAAAACAACAGGACGGAACCAGGAAAAAGACCAGGAGCAGACAAGGAAGGCCAAGATCACCACCATGACCAGACTCTAAACTCTGGCCTTACAGAAAAAGCAAGGAGGCCAGGGAGTATAGAGCAGGAGACAGGCTGTGGACATGGCAGGAGGACTACAGGAAGAGAACACCAACGAAGGGTGGCAGGGTGTGGAGACCCAGAGCCTGCCAGGTTGAAGTCTTCTGACCTCTGCCCCAAATTTCACATCAGCTGGATGGGAATAAAGCAAGAAAAGCACAACTGGGTAGGACAAGCCATGAGGTGTGAAGAAGTGACACCTGATGGGCTCTCAGGAGCTGGCCAGTACCCGCTAATCCATCCCAGTGGACCCCTGACTCCAAGGACCAGCAGGAACCTAGATAACAGGGTCATGAACATTACCTTGTATGGGGAGATGTGTGTATCTGGCAGGAAGGCCAACATGCCCATGACCATTACCTTGTATGGGGAGATGTGTGTATCTGGCGGGAAGGCCAACATGCCCATGACCTGGCGGACCTCATCCAGCTGGCTTCCTTCAGCCTGGCTGAAGTGCTTTCTTGCATGTCTGAAAAACAACATTTTGGCACATTTAAGTTTGTAATCCCCGCTTTTCAATAATCACTTAATCAGTTCAGAGGTTAAAAGACAATTTGTGAGAGTTAGATAGTTCCTTCCACCATGTGGATCCCAGGGGTTACACTCAGGTTGCCAGGCTTGGAGGCAAGTACCTTTACACCTGCCCTGAATCTCCAATTTTAAGGGTCTGGACTAACAGGTCCTTCAGAGTCTGGCATAAAGGAATTCCATCCTAGATGTGCTGGGTGGGGCCCGAGGGGTCAAGAGATCAGGAAATGGGTTCAATTAGTGCTAGAATTATTGCCTCAGCTCCCAAGTGATTCCAATTGTTCTGAGTGCTTACCTTTCAGGTCCAGGGACTTCCAGTCCAGCATTTTCAATTCTAAGTTGTTCGGAGCAACTCAGGCCCACAGACAGACTCCAAGGCTTATCTAGCCCATCATGTACAAGCAAACACACACTGTGGTCTTTCACATGTGATACACATGGCTGGTCCAGACCAGGGCCTATTTTACCCAGAAGGGCTGGGCTGCCAGGAGGAGTATGGAACTCTCCTCTGCTGGCCACCAGTCCTAAAGACCTTAGGTTTCCTATCTTCCCACAAGGCCTCATTCAATGTCATATCTTCAACACCCTAAGTCCCTCCTGCAGAACCAATTCCTCTAACCAGTGGCCAATGACACAGCAAAACCCATGGAACCAAGTCTTCACGAAGGTCAGTCCTGTGCTAAGTCAGGAAAAAGAGAGCTAGAAGGTCCTGGGAACGTGAGGCAGCCTTGAGGTGAGTATGAGTATGTATGGTTAGATAGAGAATAAAGTTAGTAGACAATATCACCAAGCAGCCCCTATGGAGTAGCAAGATGGCCACAAAGCCAAAGGAAGTGGGAAGTATGTACAGGTTTAGGATACAACCAATTGGTCTACATAGCTTCCTACTCAACAGAAGCAGTGAGCCAAGACCAGTACCAGGCCTAGGACTCTGACATCCTAATCCCAGGGTAAAAGAACCAATATTGCTTTAATGAACATCACAAACAGTATAAGAAAAACAAAACATAGTTTGGTTCTTCACTGTCTCCCAAGAGCTATGGTTGAAAGCTTGGCTGTCAGTGTATGGCACGATTTGAGGTACCAGAAAGTTTAAAGGTGGAGCCCACTGGAGTAAGTTAGGTCACTTGGGTGTGTTCTTGAAGAGCTAGTGGTACACTGGCCCCTTGCTACTCTGTGCTTCACTATATACTTCTGCCATCATGTTCTTCCTCATCACAGGTGCCACACGATGGCACCCAGTGACAAAATGAGCTTGTTTGCCTTTGAAGCTGTTTGCCTCAGGTATACATACATCACAGTGATGAAACTGGCAACTGGTGTACAGTGACACCAACTTTTTCTTTAAAAACATAAATGTGAGACACCCAGAGCCTGACATACCTGAACTAACCATTAGCTCCCATAGTGTGAGGAGAGTGACAATCCCTTTAACACTGTAGATACACAAGTCAAGTCTCAGGCATCAGGCACAGTGCCCCTTCCAAAACTCTAGTTGTTCAGGAAGCTGAGGAAAGGACTGCTGAAGCTCAGGAGTTTGAACACTGGGCAGCAAAATGTGATCCTATCTTTTTTTGTGAGACAGGATCTTATTATATGTAGCCCTAGATGACCTGGAACTTGCTATGTAGACCAGGCCTTCCCCAACTTCACAGGTATCCACTTTCCTCTACCTTCTAAATACTAGGATTGGAGGAATTATGACCACTCCTGGCATGACCAGGTCTCTTACAAAAGGAAACGAGAAGAATAGAAATGAATGTACTGGTAGGGCACTTGTCTACCATGCTCAAGGCCTGGAAAGAAGGATATCAACAGAGGGTACACACACATGTGTAGGCACTGCATGCTTTCCCTTTACAATGTATGAGGCAAGGTCAAGTGACAGCAGCCAGTTAGGTCTGCAGCCAGCTCAATCATGCCTTGCCCTCGCCCTTCCATGCTCCCAGGGAATAGCAGTCCTGGATTCACTAAAAGCTAAGCCTGGGCTGGGCCTGCAGGACTCTCTGCTCCCCACTCAGGCTTCTCTGGTGGGACACGTCACTGCTGAGTCTCAGTCATCATAGACAGACACCTTCTGGAAGATATATTCCTTCAGTGCCTATGCTAGGAGATGTCACCAGCTCAGCCCATGTCTAGGGAGCAGCAGGTCATGTTTTCACTGGTGTACCACATGGCCCTGGCCACAGTGTTCCTCCCTGCTCATACTCCAGGACTAACTGGGCAGGAGCCTTGGCAAAGCTGGAATTGGAGAACCCCAGCTATAGAAAGAAGTTACTGCTCTAGCTTTGGCATACACTAACCAGACACCTGGTGGACACCAAGAAGGCTTCACAAAGCTGACTGAAAGTAAGCAGTTCAGGAGTGGAAACTGGCACAAGGTACTCTCTGTGACACTCCAGCCAAAAAAGGGTGAGTCTTATGCTTGACTGCTAAAGACCCACAGAGGCCTGCCAAGAAGAGGCCACATGGTTGGTCAGCCACTGTTCCCTGTACCCTTAGGGCAGAGATAGACCTCAGAAGCTCAGATATGCCTGCAGAAAGCCCTAAGGTATTCTTCCTGATGCAAGTATGCTCTCAGATGGCCAGGAAGAAAAAAGACCAAGGAACTTTTAACTGTCCATTGGTCAGCCCCTTGGAGCATACTTGTTACTTAAAGCTGATGATTATTTCCCAAGTGGAAAAGATGAGACCCGGAGCCCTGATCATAGGTTGACATGGGCGGCTGGGATGCCAGTCTAGCTCACTTGACAGCTATGAGGGTCTGAACTGCCACATGAAATTGTCTGTGGAGCAGAGGACTTCAATCCCTGCCTTAGAACACAGGAATGTAGTTGGCATGTAGGATTGAAGCCATCAGACTAGAAGTGCCTCAACATGTGTGTTTCCCTCTCCATCACCCGACCAAGAGGATGCGGAAAGGGGAATATCCTGTCCTAATATAAGAAACCTTGTGTATGGCATATCCTACCTCACAGCATCCAGGCGTTTGTTCTGCCGGACAAGTTCAATGAACTCCTGAATCCTGAGGCTGAATTCCAGGCAGCTCTGAGGGCAAAGACAGACAGGGTTAGAAGGTGCCACCTGTCAGCTGATGCCTGGGAACTAGGATCCATAGGTCCCACAAATTCTACCATCAAAACTCAGGGCCTCTCCATAGACACTGGGAAGCATGCTATGGCCAGAGCCTCTATTCTGATGTGCATCACTCCTCTTCTGGTAGGACCAATGCATTATGCAGATGGTGAGCCCAATATCTGAAGACAGTCATGTGGCACTTGGATGGGCAGCAAACAAAGACTGTCATTAGCTCCCAGAGTACATGGAGTAAGGTTAAGTAACTGTATGAGGAAACCCTGACAACTCCCTGGAGGGTTTTCCAAGGCCCTATAGTCAAGGTCCTATTGTCTATGAATACCATAAAGCAATCTTCCTCTGAATGTGTTTCCTTTAGCTGCGCCACCACCGCCCTGCGAGTGTAGTTAATATCTTGAATGTAATTCATTTCACTGAACTGTGAACTTAAAAATGGTTACAATTGTAAATATTATGTGTGTATGAAATTGAAAACAGAGATGGTGGCACATGCCTTTAATCCCAGCACTCGGGAGGCAGAGCCAGGCGGATCTCTGTGAGTTCGAGGCCAGCCTGGTCTCTAAAGCAAGTTCCAGGAAAGGTGCAAAGCTACACAGAGAAACCCTGTCTCAAAAAACAAACAAACAAAAAGAGGAATTAATTGTCTCAAAAAAAAGTTTTCTCCCTACCACCTCCACCAGGTTTCAACTCAGCACATTTCTTGTCTGTACTGTAAGTCATGCTGCCGGAGATGGTGAATGCTCTGGAAAAATTTCCACAAGCTGTTCATCTACGACTGATACCTGGTGGAAGGAGACAGTGTCTCAAGTGGGTGTGAGGTAGCAAGGAGGTGGCACTTCAAGGTGCTGACAGGGAACACTTGGGCAACAACAAAAGATGGGCAGCTGAAAAGATGAGGAGGGTTCCAGGCAGAAACAGGGATAGTAGAAAGGCCCTGGGACAGAAGGAACAAAATCCCTGGAGCAGTAAGTCCAAGGAAGCTAATGTTCCTGTCAGGACTCTAAGGTCCAGGCTGGTGGGGATCAGGAGATGAAAACGGATGGTCCATGAATGGCAGAAACTCTAAGACTTGCAGTTGTTAAGGGAGATCCGAGATCAGCACTGCAGTGGCTCTTGGGGATGTTGGTAGATGCTTCTACACAGAAGCCTAAAGCTGACTCTGAAACCAGCACTACAATCCAGTACAGACAGCAGTTCCTGTGACTGGCAGGAAGATTAACTGCTACACCTTACACAGAAAGCATCTTTCTATGCAAGTACTAATCTAAAGATTCCCCAGGTACCAGGCAGTAGAGCACTCACCCAGCATGTACAGAGTCACCTGTAAAACCAGCCCCTAGGAGGCTGTGGCAAAGTCTCAGTCAATTTGAGGTTAGCCTGGGCTACACTGCAAGGCAATGTCCCCCTAAAAGCTACTCAAAACTTTCAGCATAGCCTCAGGACACAAAACACTTCCTGCCAGAAACAGGAATGAGGACATGAAAAACTAGTCTAAGACTATTCATCACATGCCACTGACTCCAGATAATCCATATTACAACAGTACAGGCTTCACATGGCAAGTCAATCATTCATGAACATTTAGGACTCAAACTCAATTCTCCAGTGCTGCATCTTTTCCCACCTAGCCTCCCCTGTGTACCCAATTCCCACGGCCCATCTCAATGTAACCCCAGCAAAGCATACTCCAGAGCCAGTTGTCCTGACCCTATCCCACCAACACAATGTAACCAGACCTACATAACTCTGTGTAGGGACAGGAAGATGATAGGGATGCCCACTTCCTCTGATCCCTGCACTGTACCCTCCGTACCCAGGCTGAGGGCCAAACAGGCTGGAAACAGTACATTCCAAGCCAGAGCAGGAGCTGTCCTGACTGAGTGGTGGATCAGGAAAAGACAGGGTACCCCAAGGCTCTCCAGGAGCAGCCTGGCCCCACTGATGATGGAGAGGTGTGTGGGTGCTCTGCTCCCTTTAAAGCCGGAAAGGCAGGAACTGAAGGTGAATCTGCACACTGGAGTCCCATGAAGTTGCAGAGTAACATTGTTCCTTCTGTAGTTGGTGGCTACCAGTGGGATGTTTAAAAGCAGGATGAAGGCACTGTATAGGTACTGAAGGAAAATGAAAACCCCCAAGACGGGGTTTCTCTGTGTTAACAGCTCTAGCTGTCCTGTAGACAGCTTTGTAGACTCACTTTGTAGACCAGGCTGGCCTTGAACTCAAACTCCCAGAGATCCACCTGCCTCTGCCTCCTGAGTGCTAGGATCAAAGGTGTGCACCACCACCTCCCAGTGAAAAGTTTTGTTACATAAAACATATACCTTAAATGTGTTTTTATTATTTAGGAGCAATATTCTTTAACAGTTAACTTTCAAACACCTTACCAATACACAGAAGTGCCTGTTTGCTATGCAAATTAATCCTCCAGAACATACATCTACCAATTCATATAGTGGGATGACTGGCCACCCTGCTCACTGTGCAGCAGCTGGAGACTCTGAATTTACCACTCTGTGTGACTTCTAGACACAAGGCCTCTAGGTTGTTCTTTCAGTGTCCTGTCAAGTCTAGAGACCTAAGCTAATTTACAGAACTTATCTTGGTGCCCTGGTATATGGTATTTCCAACTTAGTGAAACTGGGTCTGAGATGCTTCTCTTCCCATCCAAATTAGTGTGTCTGATCTGTGGGACCTTAGTGCAGTGTGGCTCCTCCACTATTTCTCTGATGGCAGGGGAGAGCATGTGTTCATGTGCACAATTGAGTTATACAGATATTATAATGTGATGTGATGGGCAAGCCTGTCATTAGGCACCTTCACAGTGTTTCTGGACAAATGCTAACATTCCCCTCTACCTCTCTTCTTAGACACTAAGGCAATGCTCATCTACTCAGCATTCAATCAACACCTCAATTTCTCAGGCTCTGCCTACCCAGAGTGTCCATCCCTGGTCCACATGGAGCACTCAGTAAATTCAGCGAGCTTGTAGGCACACTGCCTAAAGAGGTCAAAGCTTGGGAGATCACCTCATGGAAGAGACAAAAGTCTAGTGTTCTTTCTCTGGGAGGTAGTGAAAGTGGGACTGAGTAGGCCAGACTGTTACTTATCAATTCTCACTTTCCTTTTAGAGGTTCCCCACCAAGATCCTCACTGGTGGCTCTATTTTTTTGTTCTATCTTTGCCTCGTGCTCACTTTGGCAGCCCTGAATGGCAGAGTGTCACTCTTGGCTGGTGACTACATGCACCTCAACAATTGCAACCAGATGGATTAAAGCAGCATCAGTTTAGAAAACAGAAAATACAGCTCCTCTGCTACAAAGCCCTAGGATAACAATTTTCAGTGAGCAGATTTAAGTTCTGTGGCCTGTGTTTTACTTTTAAAGAATGCTTTAAAAGTACAAAGTGTATAATCAGTAGAACATCACATCCCAGATTTCTGCAGTCCCTATCTGACTGAATGGGGGAACCAACAGGCTGCCTCAATTCTAAGTGCAGGAGGCGTGAACATGCTGCATGTGTGATGGGACTCCATACTTCACTCTAGAACCAAACCAACCCAATATGCTACTCTTCAGGGTTTTTACCTAGAGGTGAACCCCACCCCAAACCCAACAACTCAATCTTACAAACCAAAACCAACCCAAAAGGCTGCAAGCAAGTGAAGGCATGATGGTCCTGGGTAGGTGGAACAGCTTCCACCCAATGTTGGCCTCTCCTCCAATAGAGATCCATCCCCACCAGAAGCCCAACTGGGAAAGCCCACACACCTTCATTTTCCGGAGTCGGGACTTGTTATCATGGCACCAGGCAAGGCAGGTGGCTGTTTCACGCCTCTCCAAGGACTCCTCCACTTCTTTGGCTGTCAGGAACATCTCGATATTCACAAGGTCCTTAGAGGAAGGGGCAGCTCAGGTCACAACATGCCTGTGGCCTACAAGCAGGGGCAACTGGTTTCTACCCTCTTCACCCCAGCCTCCCACCCAGAGTTTAGGCTCGGCCATAGTGCAGCCCTGCCTCCAGTCCAACCTGTCTCGGGCACTGCTCATAGACAAGTACCCAGGGAATAAGATTCTAGGGAGCAGAAATGGTCCACAATGACTGGGAAGCTTACATATGGCAGATGCCAAATGGTTAGGGGAACCAGTCTACTGGTTAGAGGAACCACAGCCATCCTGTTGTAATTAAAAAAAGGCCAACAAGGATCATAAGCAGTGGACTATACAGACACACTTGGACTGGCTCCCAGCACAGAGTACAGGCACTCTGTGGTTAATCTGGTCAATTTGATGAGATTTAGATCACCATGGAAATTAATCTCTGGGCATATCTGTAAGGCCTTACCTAGATTAGATTAAGTAAATTTTAGAGGTGGGAAAATTCATCTTAAATGTGGGCTGTACTATTCCAAGGGCTGGGGGGTCTCAAGACTAAAAACAGAGTGCAAACTGAGTACCAGCAGTCATCTCTATTTCCTGACTGTGCACACACATAAACAGCTGTCTCCTGCTTCTGCTGCCATGCCTTCTCTGGCATGATGGTCTATCTCCTGCTAAGACAAATGAAACCTTCCTTCGTTAATTGCTTCTGTCAGGCATTTTGTTCCAGCAACAACAAAAGTAACTAACACCCCAACCAAACCCCCAGGAGCACAACCTCCTTCAAGCCCTCAGCACAGGATACAATGCCCCCACAGTGTCTGTGTGTGGGTGTGTGTGGAGGGGGTTGTAATTCAACTCTCTCCAGTGCCTGTGCTCTTTGAAAAGGGCCAAGGACAGAAAATCTGCTGAGCTCTAGAGGACTCATACAAGGTCAGGGCCTCTCTATATTAAAGGGTCCAGCAAGATTAGCAAGAACGAGTGGCTGGGACAATGAGATGTATGCACATTATGAGAAAAGCAGGGAAGCTAACTGAAGAAAACGGAAATTTCTTTAAATTTTAAAAATCACACTGATTTATATATTAGTGGGCAGATATACAGAGGTTGGAAAACGACTTGCGGGAACTGGTTCTCTCTTCCCACCATGTAATTCACAGGAATCAAAATTAGTTAAGTTTTGGCAACAAGTGTCTTTACTTGTTGAACCATCTCCTCAGCCTGAAAACCTAATTTCAAAAGTGAAATTTCTTTCCTATCTGGGATGTACTCCAACAAAATAAATTAATAAAAAACAGTTTCTCAATTAACAAGGAGAATAACAGCACAAAACAACTGATAATTCCTAGGTGAGCCATGTACAGTATGCTCTGGTCAGGATCTACAGGGACCTGATGTTCCTCCTGCCAAGCCCCATGACAATGGTCCTAGTTAGCATCACATCCCAAGCACTGAACACCACACATACAGGACAATGACCAGAGAAGGGAGAAAGGAGTTGAAGTTATGGGAAGCTTCTTCCAGAGATGTGACTGGGCACGGCATGTGCAGCTAGCTACTGAACATGGTGTAGCTTTAAGTAAAAGACACAGCCTTTAAGTAAAAGACACAGCCTTTAAGTAAAAGAAATCATAGTAGGACTCCTACTTTTCGTATTTCAAGATAAACAACTATAAGCAGCAGACTAGAGCTAATACCAATGCAATTAAAACCAATGGCCTGGATGGTGTGAGATAGCACAGCTGGGAAAAGATGCTTGCCACCAAGCCTGACAACCTGAGTTCAATCTCCATGACTCACATGGCAGAAAGAGAAAACTGACCCCCAAAAGTTGCCCTCTAACTTCTACACGTGGCATGACATGCATGTGCATACCCCCCCCCCGAGATAAATTTAATAAAAATTTAAAAATAATAATGGCTTACAAGAAAAAAAATGGGATAACCCAAAAAAAATGGGTTCAGTGATACACTCTGGTGGCCAAGCACAGGCTGGGTATTCAATGTCTAGTGGCAATGGCTATAACCACTGGTCAGGGGCAAGAAGGCAGCAACACCTTTCCCTGGCTATATGGGCATGTCACTGACTCCAAGGAGTTCCTGTCAAGAACACCAATCTTCTGGCCTCCTAAGGCACCACAAGGCCAACAAATTTAAGTTCAGGTCCAAGTTCAAGTTGGCTAAAAGCATGTTAATTATATCCTGTGATCTTCAGTGACTATTGGGGCACCATAACAGGTGGGAACAGGTGGGAATGTGATGGTGCTCACACCTAAGCAGGGGACTAAGAATTCGAAGAGCCCACCTCAATGCCACTCTGGCGAGCCAACTTCACAGCTGTGTTGTAGTAGCCACAGCGCAGCAGATGCTCCACCATCATTCGGTCCATGCGCTTCCGTTTCCACATGCTGGCTGCTGCTGGCTGGTCACTGCTGTGTTCCTTGAGGTGCTCAATCCTACGTTTGCAGAGTTTGGCGCTCTCATCCTCAGCCTGGATGGACTCTACTGCCTAAGTCACAGCAAACACACTTGAGATGATTCGTCCCAGGACCCACCATCAGCCATGAAAACATATGCACAAACCACCTCTTTTGTATGCTCGCAAGAAGACAAGCAAGGAAAGGTAAAAGCTAAGGATGTGTTGGATGATATGATAGAAATAAAAGAAATCAGGTTCTACATTTGTTTGGGGTGAATTTGTGTAAGACAGTAATTCTTGAGAGGGGCATGACACTCTACCCACCACTTCATGTGCTTGCTGAGTGCATTTGAGGCCCTATTTCCCTCAAAAAGGCCTAAAATGCATGTGTATCTTTTTTGGTTTAAGCTACACTGTCAGATGCTTAAAATGTGAAATTTGTTGTATTTTCTTGTCTTATTATTTACTATAAAGTGACTCTAATTATTTTACTTTGAGATAGGGTCCAACTACATAGCCTTAGCTGGCCTACAGCTTGCTATGTAAACCAGGCTGTCCTCAAACTCACAAAAATCCTTCTGGCTCTGCCTCCTGAATGTGGAGATTAAAAGTATGGGTCACCATGTTTGGACTTTTAAATATTTTATATTTTTTTTTGTTAGGTTTTTTCTTTTCTGTCTTTGTTTTTTTGAGACAGGGTTTCTCTATGTAGCCCTGGCTGTCCTGGAACAAGCTCTGTAGACCAGACTAGCCTTGACCTCACAGAGATCCACTTGCCTCTGCCTCCTAAGTGCTGGGATTAAAGGCACGTGCCGCCACCACCCAGCTAAACAGATAGATACATACATACATATATATACCCAATTTTGTTCAAAATTAAATCCTACGTAGCTCAACCTACACTGTCCAACATGGCTGCTACCACCCCGTGTATCACTGGATTACTGGAAGGCCAGTGACACAGAACCACACCTATGTCATTGCGAGTAAATTCTCATAGACATGGAGCTAACAGCTAAAAGTGAGACACCACAAGCCAGCGTCCCACTGGCTTTCTGTCCCTGCTTCCAGGTTGGCTTCTGGGCTACATTCCTGTTGGGAATGGGCTTTTGTTTGGCTCCTGTTAGGGTTGATCTCAGCCAGAGCTCTTCAGTCTCACCATGTGACACATCAGGGAAGTTTATCTTCCAGACCTGTGTCATGCGGGTCTATGAGCCACTGTTATTCTCCCTGTCCTTTCTCTGCCCCTTGTCTGGGCTCTGACCAACCATGACAGAAATCCATGATCTCTCATGTACTTGCCTTTCTGTCTGCACTGTATTCTAGACAATTTCTTTAGAACCACTTTTCCGTCTTGGTACTCTACCACTGAATACTACCAGCAGCCTGTTTATTATTTGTTTGTGACATAGTCTCACTCTATAGCCCTGGCCAGCCTGGAGCTTGATATGTAGACCAGGCTGGCCTTGAACTCAGAGACTTCCTGCCTCTTCTTTCCAAGTGTTGGAATTAAAAGTGTGTGCCACCATGTCCAGTTCTGGTCACTATTTTTAAAATATATTTTCCCTGATTATTTTTAAAACTCTTAATAATTTTTGTATTTTCTGTTCCCTGCAGATTTTCAAGGTTTTTTTTGGCCCACTTTCCCGGACTTCCAAAGTCATCTGTCACATGACCTCTCGTGCTCAGACAATGCTCCTGCAGTTTCAGTCCTTGGCCTTTTCTTCTATGTGACCCCCATCCGTGACTGGGACTGGTGAGTCTCTTCTGCTGATTGAGTTCTCTAACCCCTTTGGGAGGATGCTAAGGACTATTCAAATCTATTCAAATCTTTAAAGGGTCATCCGCAGTGGCTAGGTCATTCTGACAGCCCCAGGAAGTTCTGGGGTGAAACATCAGTCTCTGGAAGCCCTAGCTTCCTCATGGGTGGGGCTTAGGACACTTTCAGTTCTCTTTCCAGCAGCATGAGTGAGGCCTGGACACTCTACCCACAGTTGGCCTCCATCTTCATCTCCCAGCTAGGGCCCATTCCAAGAGGACAAACCTTCCTCTTGAGGACACTCAGCTTCTCCACCACACCATCCAGTAGGCTGACCACAGAGTCCACAGCTGGGCAACTACTCAAGGTTTTCTCAAGCTCAGCAACCACCATGGTGACGTGGCTGGTCTCCCGATCAATGTTTTTCTGGGCAGCTCGGAAGCGTTTATTCAGTGTCTCATAGGGCACCTAGACAAGAAAAGGCAGAAAGAACCTCAGCCCTGACCTTCAATGCACGGATATGTCCCAGGCACAGCACATGGGCCTCCTTTACATCCAGCAAAGGCAGCCTAAGACCTTCAGCTCTCAAAAAAATTCTCACAGCACCCTGGACCAGGACTCACAAAGCATGATGACTAGATATGATTCAGAGCCTGGAAGGGAGAATGACACTAAGACACATGCTGCTCTGGTCTTTGAATAATGCTGAGCCACAATCTTTTCACAAAAAAGAAAAAAAATTAAGTGTATACAGACAAAACAACAAAGTTTTGTTTTTTTTTTAATCTAGAAAAACAAACAGTTAAAAAAGTGACCAAAAATAAGATGAGAGAAAGGGGTTTCCCATTCAGCCAGTGGGGAACTGGAGGTGAGAACCACATTGGGCAGGGCAGTCAGGCTGGGTCCAAAAAGCTTCGTATTGTTCAGGTTAATGTGAAGTCATCATATTTCATGTGGAATTACAAATGCACATTAACATTTCTCCTCCATGAAAAAATAGTTTACCCTAATTGTAAACAACACCAACAACACCCATTTCCTACAGAAAAATTACAAAGTAATTGTCAAGTCACTGTGATTTTCTGCCTTTCCAAAGAATCACCGTCCACTTGTCTCTCATTTCCTGGCCCATAACTGTGGGCATAACACATTAAGCTGTGCCTGAGCACCATGCCCCACCTCTTTGGCAGGCTAAGCTACAGCCACGGCTCATATCTCTACTGTCAAGTACTGCTAGTATTAACTTTGCTGTCACAGCAAACTCACCTGTGAAAACTTTTTTTTTCTTTTTTGAGACAAGGTTTCTGTGTGTACTGGCTGACCTGAAACTCTATGGACCAGGCTGGAACTCACAGAGATCCACCTACTTCTGCCTCCACAGTGCTGGAATTAAAGGTGTGTACCACTACACTCAATACCCAGCTTACCTGTGATCTTAAACCCATTCAGCAACATGGTCAGACTGAAGGAGGCTCTGTACCCCTCAACATGAGGCAGGCATGAACCCTGCATCTGAGCTTATGGTGAGGCCTGATAAAGGCAGGAAGGTAAACAGAGAGACCGAGACATGGCTCACCTTGAAACCTAGGCTTCTTGAGAGTAGGGACTGTAAAGACAATGACAGACATGGGAAAAGGACTAGCTTTACTTCCCACAATCCCAAACCTGCTTTTCTCCAGCACTGTGTTGACCATTCCGGTCTAATCCTAAGGCTTCACTGGCATGAGAGGCAAACTGCCTTAAGACAAGCCATGTTGTTATGAGGAAAGTGCAGCCAAATGGCTGTGAGCTTTTACTTGCCGGTGAGTAAGTAAATCTTGCAGTGTTGGAAATGAAGATGGAGAAATTGTCAGACAGCAGCATGTTCAATACCTCAACAGGGTAATAAGAAACCAAAGACTAGTGTGGCCAATGCAGCTCCTGGGTCAGATGGGGAATAGCACAGGGTGTAGCATCCTCTCTGGAGGCTCTGTGAGAGATACGCTTCCTAAGTGGTCAGCCTGTCACAGTGTGGGTGGCTAAGGCAAGCCTGCATTACCTTGCTCAGCCAACACTGTTTTCATCCAATGGATAAGGATGTATTCAAAACCAGCTTTTGTCCCATGCCTTCCTACTGCAGACTCTTAGGAAGGACCTAATGGGAGAGTAGACAGACATAAGACCCAGTGAGAGACTCTGGTAGTCACAGAGTCCCTGAGCCACCATAGCTGCCTGCCTCTGCCTCCCGAGTGCTGGGATTAAAGACATATGCCACCATGCTCAGTAAGAAAAGGAATCTAAAAACAAACAAACAAACAAACAAACCTGTAAAAGATGCTATTATCACTAGAGTGGAAAAATGCAAATCAAAACCACAATGAAGCATTGCCTCGTATCTATTAGGATGGCTCTTACCAATCAAAATGTAGCCAGGCATGCAGGCTAGTCTCCATGAGTTCAAGGGCAGCCTAGTCTACACAGCAAGTTCCAGGCCAATGGAAGGGACACAGACCGTCTCTAACCAACAACAAAATCACACCAAAACCATAAAATGTATTAGCAAAGTGTCTTGCTAGTGAGGACAGGAATGGTGTTGTTATGGTGAACCATCACAGGATTACTATGAACAAATAACTGTTGCAGTCTCCTCCGAGTTCTGAGTTGAGAATGACTTCTAGGCTGCTAGCTAAGACGGTTCTCACAGAATATCTAGCCAGGAATTCAGATAAGCCTTGCACTTTCCCATTACACAGAGACTGGACAACAAATGTTATAGCTCTCAATTTTCTCAGGGTCCCCTGTGGAAGCTGTTGCCCTCAGACAACAGGAAGCAGTCTAAAGAACACAATGCCCACATTCCCAAGAGGTGGGGTGGGTGGTTTTGCTCATTTGGTGGGTTACAGAGGTTTGTCATCATTTAGTGGGAATACAGGAATATAGGATTAAAAAGACAACTATTCGCAGGGCGGTGGTGGCGCACGCCTTTAATCCCAGCACTCGGGAGGCAGAGCCAGGCGGATCTCTGTGAGTTCGAGGCCAGCCTGGGCTACCAAGTGAGTTCCAGGAGAGGCGCAAAGCTACACAGAGAAACCCTGTCTCGAAAAACCCAAAAAAAAAAAAAAAAAAAAAAGACAACTATTCATCTCAAATATTTTACATTGGTATGGATTTTTGTATACTGATACAAATTTAAGGTTATTTTTTATTATACTATATATATGTTTCTACTCTTGTTTAAGGTAATGTACCTATGCAGCTCATTTAAAAATGTAACATCAAGTTCTAGTCCTTGGAAGCTTTATTACGAACTGTTTAGGATAATTAAAAAATATAGGTTAGTAGTTTAATCAAACATGTAGTTATGTTAGGTATGTTTTCAAAGTAAAACAAATGTATTTTAGATAAGTGATCTTCAAACGCTTTAGAGACCTACAAAATATGGCATTTAAGATGTTTAATAACCTAAGGCTTTTCATGACAGTGAGACATGTCTGCTTTTGGTATCACCAGTCTATTTCATAAAAGGATGATGGGCATCAAAGAACCTCCATATGGAATTCACTTTCATTGTGGCAAAACTAGCCATTTGGGCAAGAAACTGCCCTTGCCTCAACTGCTGACAGTATACTGTACAAACTGGACAAGCAGGACACAAAGGAAAAAGACTGCTGAACTCTGCCAAGACAAGGAGGGGCAGTCCTGAAAAGATAATTTTGGGTTGGTAATACAAATTAGGATAGAAAGTAAATTAAGTACACAACTTTGTACTCACCAAGACAGGATAGATAATGGAGTATTTTCTCTGAATTTGCTCTATGCAAATGAATATTGTAAATGTAATCCTTACTTAATAATTATTCTTATTGTATATAGTCTTACTATGTTAAAGCTAAACCCTTTCTTTTTATGTAGACAAAAAAGAGGAAATGTTGCAGAATATTTGTTTAACTATGCAAAGATGTGTTGTATTTGTTTAACTATGTAAAGATGTGCTGCATTTGTTTAATTATATAAAGATGTGTTGCTGTTTTACCTTGGCTGCCTAAGGCACTTGATTGGTTTAACGAAAAGCTGAGTGGCCAATAGTGAGGGAGGAGGTATAGGAGGAACTTCAGGCAGGGAGAGTAAGTAGGAGGAGGAATTTAGGTTCAGGGGAGAAGAAAGAAAAGGAGACAACAGAGAGACACCAGGAGCCAGCCAGCCAGACACAGAGGAAGCAGGAAAGTAGGACATATAGAACGAAAGAAAAGTAAAAAGCCTTGAGGCAAAATGTAGATGAATAGAGACAGGTTAAATTAAGTTACAAGAGCTAGTGAGACAAGCCTAAGAGAAGGTCGAAGATTCATAATTAATAGTAAAGTCTCCATGTCTTTCTTTGGGAGCTGGTTGACAGTCAAAGAAAATGCCAACTACAGACAACCAGATACAGTAGCAGGCCCACTTCTGGGTGTGCATCTAAAAGAGCAGGATCTCTACAAGGTGTTTGCATACCATATTTATTGCAACATCCCCAACAGCAGCCATCTATGTGTTCACTGACAAATAAATGAAGAAAATGCAGCATTAACAATGGAAAATCCTGCCACATACCAAAATATGGACGAAACCTGAGGACATTATGTTAAGTAAGATGAGCTGATCACAAAATGATAATAAAACTGTCATTGAACAAGACTCCTATAAAGAACAAACTCTCAGAGAACAAAGTAGGATGCACAGTGAATCTCTAATGGCAGAATTTCAGATCTACATGATTGAATGTTCCAGAGACCTGATGCACCATGAGGGCACACACAAGTAACAGCACACACTGTACACTTTACAATTCTATGCTATGCTTTTACTACAAAAATCAATCAATCAAGGCCCAGGCTGGAATGCCTCAGTTGGTGCAGACAGTGCTTGCCCAGCATATATGGAGCCCAGAATTTAATCCCCATTATTGCATAAACGGACTGTACAGTGGTGCTGTACACCTGCTGTACACTAAGGAGGTGGAAGCAGGAGGGTCATAAGTTCAAGATCAGATAGATCCTTTTTGACTACATAATAAATCTGAGGCAAAAGAAACCAACTACAATTTTGATATAATACAAGCAATGGGACATGATGTCAAGATTTAATACTATAGCTTAGCATGGTGGCATATGTCTGTGATCTCAGCACTCAGGAATCCAAGGCAGGAGGACAGTGAATTTGAGTTTGGGCTGCATAAGAAGATTCCCATCTCGCTGGGCAGTGGTGGTGCACGCCTTTTAATCCCAGCACTCGGGAGGTAGAGGCAGGCGGATCTTTGTGAGTTCGAGGCCAGTCTGGTCTACAGAGCGAGATCCAGGAAAGGCACAAAGCTACACAGAGAAACCCTGTCTCCAAAAAAAAAAAAAAAAAAGATCCCATCTCAACACCATCACCCTAGACCAAACCAAACCACAACAAAAAGTAACTATAAACCTTTGTGATCCCTCTTAGGAAGGTGCTGGTCTGAGATT